ATTTTTCATTATTCTTGGAATAACACGTAGTATATTTATTTTCACATGATTTATTTACGATTTTTGTGTTCTTAGCCTAGCTTAACACTCCACAACAAAGTAAAGTAAATGAATGAATTAAATCGAACGAACACTGAGTCACTGATTGATAAAACACAGTGAGTGAACAGTGAACACAGATGTCAAGAAATGAATGAATGTACTTCACTAAGTTTAAGTTCAGTAGACATGGGACAAAATCACAGTGAACTGTGATTTTTCATTGTGATTGCGTACGTAGGTTGGGGTTGCTAGGTTAGACGTGATTTAACAGTAAATCTAGTATTTTTTTAATTATTGAAGTAAAACTTATTTACGCACGCTTGACTTGGGAGTAAGCTGTTGAATGCGTGACGAGAGCGTTACGAAAAGTGTGACGAGGCGAACGGAAGTGGAGGGGGAGATAAGTTAATGAAGATGGAAAGAGAGAGAGTTATATTTCGTATATTACTGTAGAGGTGCGAGCACACATTTTCTTTCTCTCTTTCTCTCTCATTGCCAATAATTTTTACTTCAGTCGTGTGGTCTATAGCACGCTCGTTTTTTTAATGTAGGAATGGTAGCTATATATAATAAAATAATTAATAGATTTACTGTTGAATAGGCGAAAAGCGAAAGTCCCTATGACATTACGCATCGTCTAAAAACAGCTTATTCGGATCCGGTTGAATAGTAGAAGAGAAATATAGATTGATATCGTTCAAACTAATGAAACTCGGTCCGTTGTTGTCGACTAATGCTCAAGTTGTTACTTTTTATATATAGGTATTGCTTTTTAAAGATGCCCAAGGGGCCAAGGGAAACATGATTGCTGCCATGGAACATGATTGGTCTATGGTACGGAGTATGTGCGAGTGCATGGAACTCCGCCATCTCCTTTTTTGAGCAAGTTATGCTTGTGAAGAAGACGAGGCCGGGAGCCGGGGGCCGAGGGAGGCCGGGAGATGTTTAGAACTCTCCACGCCCGCTAGGCTAGGCCAGGCAGAACGAAGACGACTCAGGTGCCGGAGGTCACAGAACCGACGATAATGGTGCTGACAAAAAGTACTTATGATTTTCTTTCGTAATTACTAAAAAACTGGTTTAGTGGAAAATTTTGTGCCTATTAGAAAAGGGTCGCTGTTGGAAAGTTGTTTTCTGGTGGTTTTAGATGATGAATATGGTGAAGAGTTCATGTAGCTATTGGCAACACTGACTTCACTCCTACAAGAACAGTTCATTTAATCGTCCACATTAATGCTAATGCATCCAAAGTTCCACATTCAACCGCGTATGGCATAGAGAAAAAGTTAAGGAATAGACAAAGAAAACGTCAATAATAGCTTTGGAATTATTAAATAGTTACTTTATCAACCTTAGTATTTTCATAGGTCTTAGGTTTTGACGATAAGTTAATTACCGGTTAGAAAGGTCAAAAAATAAGTTACTAAGGCCAGTTAGAAACATTAGAATGTATTTAAGTAATTGTTTATCATACAAAGTAATAAAATGTACAGTTTAAAACATAAGACTTAGTAAATAGTTATACTAGTTCTCCTACCCTTAATATTTCAAAAGTTCATGTTAGAGGAATGGAATCGAAACAAACCACAGTAGCACTCCGGGAGTGCCGAAAAAAGTGAAACCTTAGAAGTTTAATATTTTTGTTTCGTTTTTTTTTCGATTTGAAAAGTATCATGACATGAATATGTATCTATGTTGTACGCATAAACACAATATATCTTTATTTTATCAATTTATTTAAACTCAAACTCAACACTCGTGTAAACGAGGACGTGTGACATGTAGATGCTTATATACAGAGAGAGGTGTGGGTAACGGTAACAGTGTCGCGAGTTTAATGGTTTTTTCCCATCTCAAAAAATACATTCTTTTGTTTGTTGTTGAAATTTTCACTAGTGAAGCTAAGCTTTTTCAGCATATAAACAGTTCACCGGAACGCATAAGCGACGCGGATTGCCCGGCGCTTAGGCCCTTTTCATCGCGACATCGCATGCAAGCTTCGCGCTAGACCAAACAACGTTTCAAGTGGTTATATCGCTTCACACTGCTGCGTATTATTGAACGCTATAGCTTTGCACGCCGCTGAAGCGCTTCATTCTTACTAAGTACCATTTATTTTTTAATATTGCCTCTTGATTGAATAAGCAAACATGTCAACAAAGAATTGCGGTGGCTGTATGAATGCCTTTAAAAGCAGGGAATGTTTGCAATGCTGTGTTTGTCATCTCTGGTACGATTTGTTATGTGCGAATTTGGCAGAAAAGCGGTTTAAGAGTATGAGCTTAGAACAAAGAGGAGCTTGGAAATGTCCTGGCTGCCGCAATAAACAACCGAAAGGGGACAACACCAACACACCCGTTCGCTCTGCTCGACTCGAGAGTCCACCTAAAACTGCACAAAGGTCGCCTTCAACGTCTGATAATAACATAACCCTGGACACAAGAACAGCGTATAACATCTCGCCAAACCAAACGAATGATGACACAATTATTCAGTGTACAAGCGGAACTCTTCGGGAGATTATAAAACAGGAGATACAGGGTGCACTTGGGAAAGTTTTGGAACAGTTTAAACAAATATCAGAACTTGTGGACGACTTCAGGAAATCGCTTTCTTTTTTTAACGACAAGTATGAAGAGATAAGAGCTATGCTTGAAGAAAAATCAAGTAAAATACAACACCTCGAAAAGGACAACATCAGCTTGCAAGAAGCTGTTCAACAACTTGGCAAGCGTCTTAGCATAGTGGAACAGGTCTCTAGGTCTAATAATGTAGAACTACAATGCCTACCGGAAAACAAATCAGAAAACCTAACTACCACTGTACTACAGCTTAGTAAAGTTATTAACTGCGATATGAAAGACTACGACATATTACACTGCACTAGAATTGCTAAAATGGACACTCAAAGTAAAAGGTCTCGATCGATACTTACCAAGCTTAGTAGCTCTCGTCTACGTGACAGTTTCCTCGCCGCAGCTTTTAAATACAACAGGAAGAATGATCATGAAAAATTAAACACCAGTCACCTAGGTATAGCAGCGGAAAACCCTTTACCTATATATGTTGGCGAACACCTAACAGCTGAAAATAAAGCACTCCATGCGGCGGCGAGGTTACGTGGAAGAGAGCTAGGATACAAGTTTGTATGGGTCCGTATTGGAAAAATCTTCGTTAGGAAAAGCGAGACCACACAAAGCGTCCTTATCAACAGTTTGGATAAGTTAAAAATTTTAACATAAGCACTTTAAATTTTAAATAAGTAACTGAATTAATTGTTTTGCATGTTTTCGTTGTCGCTTATTCTTACATTCAATTGTTCACTTCATTTTTATTATCAAAATGTACGGGGTTTAAGAACTAAAACTGTGTCCAATCCTCTTTAATGTTTTCATTAACGACATAGTCAATTGCTTTTGGCACTCTCAATTTTTTTTATTTGCCTACGATTTAAAAATCATGAAGCCAATTCGGACAGATAAAGATGCGAAAATGTTACAGGAAGATATAAACAGACTATCAAATTGGTGTAAAGAAAATAAAATGCAATGAAACACAAGCAAATGTTATTACATTCAATTCACCCGAAATAAACACATACTAAATAATAGCTACAATATTGAAGGTGTCCCAATAAACAAGGTTAATGTTATTCGCGATTTAGGAGTTCTACTGGACAGTGCACTCAAATTCGATGCTCATATATTACACACCGTTGCAAGGGCGTTTAAGGTACTGGGCTTCGTCTTAAGAAATTGTAAAGGTTTCAAAAAATCTTTTACTAAAATACAGCTATTTAATTCACTCGTACGTCCCATCTTGGAGTATGGCTCAGTAATATGGAATCCACTTTACGAAGTATATACGAAACGATTAGAGAGTGTGCAGAGGCGCTTCCTCTACCATCTATGCTATGGAGACCATTTAGCAAAAGAAACTTTAAGTTATACATCACAGTTAACGCGTTATAATTTAAACCGCCGCAAAGCCGCAGAATGAAACTTGATCCCATATTTCTACATAAAATACTAAGTGGTTCCACGGACTGTAGTGAGTTACTAAGCGCCTTAAGCATAAAAATACCTTTGCGTCTTCCAAGAAAAAGCAATTATAATTTATTTGAAATTCCATTTTCGAGAACTAATCTGGGTCATTACGCTGCTGTGCCGAGGATTTGTGGGTTGTACAACACTTTATCAAAAGCTCATGATATCGATATTTGCGAATCCTTACCCCGATTTAAAAGACACTTGCAAAAAGTTCTTTAAGGTTCTCATTTATTGTTGTTTTTCTTTTTTTTTAATTTTAAAATTTGTCTGTTTATTTGTATTCAGACAGAAAGAAAGAAAAAAAATTTAATATTTTGTCATATTTAATGTTATTTAGGAGGTTTTCTCACTATGTTACTTTTAAATTAGTTTTGTATTAGGTATAAGTTTGGATATTCTATTGCGTGCTGTGGTCTCCTATAACTGAAGGAGTACACTATTCAAAAAACTAAGTGTGTATTATATGTACTTCTGTGTATATCCTTTGTTGGAGATCCAATAAATAAATAAATATTCGCCCACTTTTAAAAAATCCGTAAGGGTAATTTTAATGACTTTACGACTTTAATTCCTTTACTTTACAGTTAGTGTATGTAAATTATACTTAAAAGATTGAAAAAAAGTTCAAATATTTTGGACGAAAAGTCATAAATAATATTGTCCCATCACTACATTACACCCATACAACAGTCAACATACAAGCATAGACAAAACATACAACACAAAAAGTACCAAGCAAGATGGCTGATCTTGATCTCGGTTTACATTAAAATTTTGTTTTTACGCGATATAAATGTTGCTTCATTACGACTTTAGGATAGTCACATCTTAGAAATAGAACAATTTTAATTGTTTCACCGATCAAACGAATAAGTGCGTTATATGTGCTAATACCAAACAACTTTCACAATGAGCGAAATTGCCAACAATGAAGGAGTATCTGAAACTGAAAAGCCGGCTCAGAGTGATGTAAAATTCCCGCCTTTCCCTGGTATGCTCAATTACCCCTAAGCCTGAAATGTCATACTTTGGAAAAAAATTGCGACTACTTTAATGTTGTGTTTTCATTATAGATCCTACAGAAAATGATTTTGATGAAGATGTATCTGAAGAGGAACGTACCTTTTATAAAAATAAATTTAAAGGTAGTGATGGTAAATGTAGAATTCAAGTGATTTGAAATGCCTTGGAACTACTCATTGTGAGATTCTTATATTATATTTTCAGATTTAAACGATGTCAAACATTGTCGGTTACATTGCACTTCTTGTGACCGTCATATGGGATGTTCAGCTCGCAATGAACGTATGCGATCTCATCCTTTGTTGCGTACCTTGGTGTGTAATAGTTGTCACACTTTCTACAATAGTGGAGAATTTGAAAAAGGTGATGATGGATCAGAACTATACTGTCGTTGGTGCGGCCAAGGAGGACAAGTATATTGCTGCTCTGATTGCCCTCATGTCTTTTGTGCGGTAAAAATGCATTTTATTATCTTTCTTAATTCTATGACATCTAATAAACTACTACCAGCTTTGTATTTATCACTCAAATATAAAAGTTACCTTTTTAAAAACTTCCCAAAAGAGAGCAGTGTAATAATTCATTCATCATCATCCACAGCCTCTAATGATCCATTGCTGGACATAGGTCTCCTTAGAAAGGTTTTGGCTTTCTATACCATGCTAGCCATATTGGTTGATATAGGAGTTGTTTCAAGTTTTTCTTCACCAAAGAATTCATCAATATATAAATATCACCATCTTAATAAGAAATTATTTAGTGCTGCTTTTATTAAGATGACATACACAGTTGGAACTAAACAGAACTAAAAATAATTTGTTAACCATTTTATGCATTGTTTTCAGAAATGCATCAAGCGTAACTTAGGTGTCCCCAAAATTAAAGAAATTGAGAATGCAGATGACTGGAGATGTTTCAAATGTAATCCTGAGTGTTTGAGGGATTTGCGTGCTATATGTTGGGCCGTCTTGCGATACTGTGATCTAAAGAACAAGTAATTACCTTTTTTTTGTAATGAATGCCATGCAATGGGTAGTTTTAGCAATGTGTAGACATAATAATTGAACACAATACAATAATGTAATTCTTATGTTATAATTTCTCTTGTCTTTCCATAACTGTTTTGAATATATTTAAGAATTGAACTCATACACTATGTTAGCAAACTTGAAAAGTCAAAGAGTATTTGCTTTTAAATACCACTTCAATTTTTATGACTGGAGCATTGACCATAAATGAAAATGGCACTTGAGAAAATGGCTAGTCTTAGGTCTTCATAACTAAGCTCTGTATCTTAAATAAGTAATGAAGTAATTTTAAGTAATATTCTGTACTAATATATAACTTAAAATCACCTAACATAAATATAATGCTGCATGCTAAAACACGGCCCTAGTCATAAAGCAGAACTTTTTATTCTGTTTCATTGGTTTTTGTTATCGATGTCCATGTAGTGACGGATTAAGAATACAGAATGTTACTACCGGAAATTCATCCCTTGGGTTTCGTAAGTGCCGACTAAGGGCGCAAAACAATGCAGGACACCAGCACTGCAAAAAGAAGGAAAACTTGACACAAACCCTATACCAACCCGTCTGGCCAGCGTGGTATAGTAGGCCTAAGCCTCCGTTCGAAGGAGAGGCCTATGTCCAGCAGTGGACTATTAAAGGCTGTTGATATGATGATGATGTGATGTGATGTTAAAAAGTATCCAACAACCTAAATAATAAAATACTTATTGCAAACATTATTATAGGCCTAAATTTGACGGTTGCATGAAATTGCAGGTATTTGCTTTTTTATATAACCTAATTTTTGCATATGTTACAAAGCAGTAGAAAAGAGGAGATGATGTTACAGACTCATAAAGTCGTTTACATGTTGGCCATACCATTGTTACTATTTTTCTATTCTTTACATTATGACTGTTTAACAGTATGTATATCCTCCCTCCTCCAGTATGTATATCCCTATAAGCATATCCTCTTAGATCTCATCATTTTACCACTATTCAGACTGAACTACAAAATAAGATCGCCAATGCCATAGCCATTACACTATTTACACTACTGCTGCTTTATTAAGATATAACATTATAATCTTTATTTTTGTCACACAGAATAACACACTTAACTGAAGATCCAGATCTGAAAGCAGCATATCAGAAGGAATGTGCATTAGATCTATCAGAATGTTGTAAACATAAGACTAACAAGAGAAATCAAAAACTTAATGACTCTTTGAATAAGAAGAAGGATGTCAAAAAGGACACTAATGCTAAATTGGCTGCCACTATTATTTCTAAGATGCCAGCAACTATTCAGGTACTATACTTTATAAATATAGTGTATGTAATAACACATCAGGAGTCAGACTAATTCAACATAATTATATCATTGATAAAAATGTAAGTTTTGCACAACATATAGTCCATAAACTTACATACATATTAATATATATATATATATATATATATATCTCATACTAAAACTCAGCATGTTCAAACTAAGACTTTTCTACTTCAGAACTGTATATGCTTGGCGAAGTTCTGATGGTTAGACAACTGTATATTCTCGCTCTTGTATTAAGACAACATAGTCTCATACAATTTTACCCCAACAACGCAATACTGATGAGATGGGGAGAGTACCAAGTATGTTTAACTAAGCCCTCAAAAACGGTTTTTAGTTCTAGATTTTTCTTTTTCCAAGGACCATGGTTATATAATTTAGCAAACAAATTACATAACATATAATTCTCTAATTCTTTTATTTATAATATTTCCATATTGTTTGTAATGTAATATGTTAATAATGCAATAATGTTTATCTGGGATAAGGAGGCCAGGAGGCCTATAACACAAATGTACTTAGTATGGGCTCCTGTCTCACATCCATATTTTATTTTATAGTTGTGTATCGATTTATATTGTGGGAGAGAGTTAAAATATGAATCATATTCTCCATTCACACCATAACTGCCTGTGTTTCAAGGGACTTAGGATTTTAGGACAGAACTTTAACACTTTAACAAGTTAAGTATTAGGGTCTTTCTTTATAATAATATTATATCTACTACACTATGAATTAGTTTAATTGAAGTAATATTTGAGTAGAAATTGCATCTCCAAGAAGTGTCTTATAGATCTACAATTTATTGTAGTCTTAAATTAAATAAAGTTAATGTTTTTAGACACTTTAGGATAGTGAGAAAAATGTTTTACAGGTATATAATTATGCTGTAATGTATGGCCTAATATTATGTTATAATTTTAAGTAAAAATCTTTTCATTCCAGGTTAAAAAATTTGCATCTGTTAATCCTGATGATTCAATCAAAGTAGAAAAAAAAGCACAAAAGCGACCTGCAAGTCCAAAACTGAAGACACTTTTAGTCAAGAACCCTATATCAATAGCATCCTCTGTAATTCCAAAGATCTTAACTCCAGTTGCTGGTGTGCCACCGCTAGCGAAAAAAATACGGGTATTGTTTTTATAGCAAACCATACTCATGATTTGATATATTATTATTGCATTATGGCAAATTAATATAAAATAGCTAAGGAACACATAATTAACTTATTAATTAATTATTAATCTCAGTCAACACTAGAATACTCTATTAATGATGTTCCAGATCATTAATCGCATATATCTGTGATATTGATACTTATACGAATTATATAGCTACATTTCCTCGCTTGGCAAGTCTTGACAAGTGTTCACAAACACAAGCATGTGAACAGGGAAGCATCTGGAACAGTGAAGCATGTGTTTATCTTGGCTATGAGCTTGTCGCCGATCCGGGCTCGTGTCGGTTTTTTAATACAGACCAAAAAAAGCTTGTGGCTTAGACTTTAAATAAAATATGTCACAACACTACAATTACAACGTCCACTTCTGCTATGTTTACCTATCCGGAACACACTTGCAACCGTGTAAATGGCATACGAGCCTTTGTAAAGGCTTGAAGCTTGTGGACGTTTGCCAAGCCTCGGCAAGCGTGTAAACGTAGCATAAGAGTTTAGATCACCATTGATGAATACGAGACTCGTTATTGTTGATCTTAGATTAACCAAGACTGTGTAGTTGATATTCAGGATTAGATAGGATGTCATGTTTCGACTACTACGCGCGGTTTTTTAAATGATTATACCAATAATATAATCTCACAAATATTTGTGTATAATCTAACAAATATTTGATCTCTACACAAAGATAGTCAAAAAGTACCTTAAACCTCTTAATAAAATTAGTAACTCAGAATATTATATACTAGCTGACCCGCGCAACTTCGTCTGCTTCTCTCAATAGTAATAAATTGTCTCCGTTTTTGAAACATTCTTCATTGGTGCTCCGTTCCTATTGGTCTTAGCGTGATGATATATAGCCTATAGCCTTCCTCGATGAATGGGCTATCTAACACTGAAAGAATGTTTCAAATCGGACAAGTAGTTCCTGAGATTAGCGCGTTCAAACAAACAAACAAACAAACAAACTCTTCAGCTTTATAATATTAGTATAGATTTAACATTTATGTACATGTGTATAATAATGTAAGAGATCCGCCAAAAAAGATGGAAACGGATAAAGGATACAGATCTTTGTTCACACTCGTAGATCCGCGTATACTATACGACGTATCACTACTCTATATATCAAAACATACAGCAGTAATCTAATTTGTGATTAATTATAATTAAAACATTAGTCTACGTAGGTAGTTTGCAGTCATCTTTTTTTAGCAGGCGCCGTTAAGTTACGGTCTTTTGTAGTATTCGTTAAGTTGCCGTCGAAATAGATTTTGAATCTTATTGTATAGTATCACAATAAGAATAAAGTATTGAGGCAAGTAGGAAGCAAATAAAAACCAATTTGTTGTCAAACACAAATTATTGGGCTTGTTCACATAGCGACATTTCACTGCACGTTTTTTTTTACACAAAATTCTGTGACATAGATCTATATTGGACTATCCGCACTGACGGGAAAAAAATAATGCAAAAAAAAACTGCTATTTGATGCAAATTGAATGAGATATGTGACGATTTATTTCCGCACGAATGTTTTGTGCAGTATAAAGTGGATATGGCTATGGCATAAATGACAGATATGGCTATTCGCAGTGTGTATTCAGTGAATTTCCTTGCGGTGAACGTCGCTGTGCGCACGAGCCCTCACTAATGGACATATAGAGATTATGATTATACAAACTTAAAAAGATTTTTTAAGAATAATTTGCTTGCTAACTAATTTACGTATTTGTATTTCAGCTACCAACAGCAATAAATTCAGTAATAAATTCTCCAATAAAATTTCAAAATATACGAGAAAGCAAAGCAATGGCCACTTACACTCGGATAAGGCCCAAAGTAACACCACATTTACCTATACCAATTGCAAACAACTGCTTTAATGGATATCCTCCAAATCTATATCATTGTAATAATCAAATAAATGACAACATCAATTTATCATTGGAAAGTTTAACACAGGTAATTATAATATTTTTAGTACATAATTGTATATAATAATAGAACAAAATTACATGCCTTAACATTTTTGTATCCTATTTGTCATATTTAGTAAAACAATAGTTTTAATTAAAAATTCATAGCAAGCAAGTAACGCATAAAAGCATTTTCCAGAGACAAAAAAAAGTTGGATTGTAATTTGTAAAGTGCCCTGCTCACCTATATGCTGCTATATATCCAAATAATTTAAAAGGTGCATTTGACAGTTGACCTTTAGGTAGTTGACATTTAGATTTTTTCATACGTAGGGTTGCTACCTGGGCCTCAATTCTGCTATTTTATGACAAGCCAGTGTCATACCACTGACACGCTATTGAGATGCCATCGAGTGGCCATTGGCATCGGTATAAATATCGGTAGTTAAAAATATATTACGTTTTTTGATGAAATGTTTTTTTATTTTTATTATAATAAATTATTAAAAGAAATAAATAAATAAAAATAAATTATTTAAAAAATAAAATTATAATTCAGTTCAATTTAATTGTAAGAAAAGCATTAAATGTGAAAAGTACGGATAAAAAAAAACATATAACGAAAACGATCTCTGGTTAGCAAGTCCCTTGATAATATACGATTAGTAAAATAAATCGATTAAAAATTATAGAACGTACCTAATAAAAAAATTATATTTATTTCCGCAAGTAAAACTTTATAGATATTTTACATATCTGCCAACCTGTTTTAGGACATCTCGCAGAAATTGGAAGAATCACACGATTGTTTAAATTATTTGAAGAAATTTAAAGTGAAATACGTCATATTACATTAATTTAACTCAGCAGTATAAATTATTACTTGTAAAAATTGTTTAACTTGTGAACTCGAACATTAAAGGGAGAGAAAAGATGTGCTTGAGGTTCGAGAATACACTGTCTTTAACTCATCTCTATCCGTCTTTACTGTTACCATGATAGTTGTTGAGAGGGCTGCCTATTCTGCTACACTACACAAAGAAATTATATTCGAATAGGACCCGTCGATCTTTACATTGATATTGAGATACTTGTAATCAATGAAATTTCCTCATCAGTAAAATGATTTAAATTTATTTTATATATTTCTAAAGTACTTTAATAGATTGTCAATTGCCTCTTCTTTTTTCATGTCTAATATATTTCCTTTTTATTAAATATTGTCAAATATATTTCAATTTGCTCAGTATTAAGACTAGCTCTTATGCCATAACATGTTTATACCGGTTAGACGTGAGGTTCACATAATAATTGTACATCTGACTATGAAAATTAAACCATTATGCAAACACATAATGATGAACTACAATTAATATTAATTAAAAATTGTACATACTACTTGAATTGTTTTATGTTTCGTTCAAAGTTGCGGTCTCTAGTCTCAGAACGGCTATTTCACGTGTCAAAATGCACTTCTTAGATTATTTTTACTATAGCTATCAGTGATAGCTATAGTAAAAATAATCTAATATATATCATATAATTTTAAATACTGATAGCTATCAGTGATAGCTATAGTATTTAAAATTAAAAGTTTCTACTATTCTTAATTTAAAGTATTCCATTGTGGTTTAGATGAATAAGTATGTTGGTGAGAATATTTCTTACTTTTGTTGAAGCCTATATTAAGCAAAAAAATGGATAGTTTAGTATGTGTATAGTATCTACAAGTAGTAAATAAATTAATGACTATCATCGTTGCTTATGAATTTATTATTTATAGGGATTAGACATGGCAGCAGTAGCTGCATTGTCCAACAATAATTCACAGGATGACGATGTTGTGTGCACACCTGATTTTCCTCTGGAGCCACTATGTGAGGTATGAGCCACAATGTTTTCTTGAGTATATCAAACCTATATATGTTTGAGTATGTCTATATTCCTTTGCATTGTTAAGGTAATTAACTTGGAATTGCAATCCATCTTGACATCTTTCAGTAATGATATCTTTTAATAATTAATTTATTCTCGAGCATATGGACTTGTGAGCTCTTTGAATATTTAAGCAATAGTAATAAACATAGGTGCTATCATCAATTGTCTAAATAATAAAGCATTCTAAGTATTTAAATGATCATTTATTTAGGTCACTTAATCTAAAACATGTTTTTGATACTCATTCGATTGTTTCCTTGTAAAATTATTTATTTATTTATTACCACACCTATATCTATTTTCACAGGTTATTAAATAATACTAGGTTGATGACAGATATACAAACAAAAATCAACATGGAACAAAAAATGCAAAAACAAAAAGAAACTTAATTATACACTACTTACACTTACATTAAGTTTCTGTCTTCGTCTTAACATGGTTCTTCTTGAAATATCGTTTTTTTTGGTCCTTACAATACTAGTAAAAATAGATGCAAAAAGAACACATTATGTTTCTCAAAGGAGCTTTACCTGTATTTCTGTTTCTCTTTTCCTGTAGCTGAAAGATGACCTGAGATCTGAGCTCTAAACCCTCAACATAATTATAGGATGTGGGGTGATTGTGACTTTGAGAGATTTTCTGGGTTTATTTATTCCTGCCTTAATTAATATTTTATAATTTCATACTACACTCATGTAATCTTGTTACAGGTCACTGAAGATAATGATGATGATGTTGAATGCATTACACCAGGCCCAATTGCAGTTCCTAAAGTGACTAATCCTCCTCCTTTGGTACCTCGTACAACACCTAATATATCAGACGTCACTTCTGAAAATATAATTCAAATGACTGAAAACGATGTCACTGTTAATGAATCAACTGGAGGTTTGAAATTTAGGGTGGATCCCCAAACTCTATCATCTAACAAAATGTATCGCTTACCTGACGGACGTATATTCGCTATCAATGCTAATCCTAATATGCCTGGAGGATATTCTGCTACTATTGTAGCCGTTACAGAATCTAATAAAACGGTGCCTAAAGGCGCAACCTTTGCAGCTAAACTTAGTTCCGTCTCTACTTCAACACCTGCTAAAAGTAATAGTAACCAAGTGACCCGTTTTGTAAGTGCAAAACAACGTAACACTTTAAAGGTTACTAAATCTACAAAAACGTCAGAAACCACGACTCGAGAATGTGATTTAAATGTACCTGTTGAATGGTACAGATACAATTTAATTGACGCTGTTGACGCTTTGGAATATTCATTGTCTAGGCTTCAAAAATTAAAGACGGAAGCTACCTCTGTATATTTACGCACTAGATCTGTAAATGAAATGCGAAACCTTCATAGAACTTTAGAGCGATTATTAAACACGTCATCTAGTAGATTCAATGAAATTCGAGACAATCTTAATAAGGGGCTTAAACAGTATGTACTAAAGAAATCAGGTGGTGGTGGAACTAGTGAAGAAGATGATGATGTAGAAATATTACCAGACATAGATGATGATCCAATATTTATAGACGAAAATTCAGTTGAGTCTAATATGAATGGCAGTGAAAACCAAGAGGTTGATCTAACTGGACCTGGAAGTAGTGAATATAATGACAGTGGAGAAAACAGAAATGATAATTTTTCTAAGGGGGATAGGGATCCTCTTAATATATCAGGTGATAGTGAGCGCGGTCTTATATTAAGTATTCGACATAGCACTGAAAACTTGGAAAATACTAAAAGAAGAAATAGAAAAACTAGCAATTCGGATGATAATAAAATTAATGGGATTGAGAGTTCACGAAAATATAGTGATGTGAAAAATGCTAAGTCTCGTGATATTAATAAATTAACAGAAGAACATCAAAATGCAGATGATACTACTATTTTCCGGATGACGAATGATAAGGCTGATAAACAAATAAGTAATGACGATATGAACGAGTTTGTAAGTAAAATGCAAGATCCTGCTGATAAAGTTCTAGATTCGGACACTAAACTTGAAATTTTGGAAGATAAATTTCATAAGTCTGATAAAACACACCAAGACTCTGATGATAGAGTGCAAAATATTGATGATAAAATACAAGATATTGTTAATAAAGTGCAAGATTCTGACCATAAACAGCAAAGTACCGATAAAATTTTAGATGTCGTTATTAGTGAGGAAATCAGTAATGGAAAAATTAAAAGTCCTCAGGGCAGACTGGAGGATTCTAATGATAAAATGGAGTATTCTAATGGTAGAATAAAAGAATCTGACAGTAAAACGGGTGATGCTAAGGATACAACACAAGATAGTGAGGACAAAACTCAAGATAATGATGACAAAATTCAACAATCAGAAATAAGCGAGGAGCTGATAGAAACTTTGTTAAAAGATGATTCACAGGATAGTGCCACAACAAATTCAGAAGTTCCGAAACCGTTATCAGTAACATAAAACATTGTTTTTATAATCTTTTTTAGTTAAGGTAAATATATATATGTATTAAATATACATAAGTTAGTATATAAGTACATAAATAAATGTGGTCAAGTTAAGATTAGTGTTCTGTAATTTCAAAGATCATTTATACAAAATCCTACACCAATTAACCAAATAAATAGAAATTCTCTTGTTACATGTGTAACTTGTTTGGTTATTTTTTATACTGCTTGCAACACTATGCTATAAATAGGGACTTGTCATAGAGACCAATTCGCCTTACTTTTTTTCATTCTAAGATCGTATTTTACTTATATTACGTAAGAGAATAACATAAGTATATAAGTGAATAGCGGAATGCTATGGAATTATGATAGATACGAATTTAAAAGCATCGTTCATTTTGTTTTTTCTGTAAAGTGATAAACCTATAATCATATTAATATAAAATATGAGATAATAATGATCTGAATCCTTGATTTCGGCTACCGTTCTTTCACACTACATTATAATTTCGATTACTGTACTTATTATTACCTATTCTACGGAACGTTAATATTTCCGATTCTTGTTATTCGTTTTCTGTTATTTCATAGACATTGTTTCTAAAATTGTCTAAAATAAATTGCATCAACATGTTATAACATGTTGATGCAATTTATTTTAGACAATTTTTTGTCCTTGTTTTTTAGTAGTTTAGTAGTTGGTCTTGGTCCAGATATTTAGTAGAACCAGATTGGATGGTAATATTTCATGATAAAAAGGAAATGATAAAGCACTATTGTTTAAAACCATAGGGATTTATAGGGTTACTGGTTAAGTCGGCCTAGATACTTTAAGGAGTTATAGTTGCCATAATTTCTAATAGATTTCACTATGACACCATATCCCAAAACTAACCATTTTCAAGATATCGGACTATTAAGTTTTTTTTTAATTCGCAACTTCTTTTTTTTTACTGTGTAGTTAATACATTGTTTTATAATTTCAATTACCAAAATTGTACTTGACAAACTGCGTCGAAGTAGATGGTTAATTATACTTCGGCCCAGTTTGTTATTAGTAAATTATAAAACAATGTCTCAGTGATACAAAAAACAATGTATTAAGATTTAAAAAAAAATCTTAAATATCTTGAAAATGGTTAGGTTTGGGACATGATGTTTCATAGTGAATCTATCAGCAATGATGGCAACCATAAAGTACGCCAGTAACCCTGTATATTAAAATTACAAAACTTATTAAAACTGCATGAATGAAACATTGCACGTATTAACATTGTGTTAATACAATACAAAAATAGTGTTTCAATTGTGCTCATATATATCATATTTATTCTTATTTTCTTAAATTTGGTATTCGTATAAGGTGGATATGAGTGCACCAAAATTATAAACTTGGCCAGAAAATAAATCACAAGAAATTAAAGCATTGTTTAATAATCTGCTTAATGCCAGGAGGTTAAAATAAATCAATAACCAAAACAACACATTGTTGCATAAATAAAAGGGTGACTTCTAAAATATTAAATGTACTCTTCCCATTTCGAGCAAGTAAGACGCAGCTATTGTCACTATTTTTTGATGAAATTAACGTTACGGTTTATAGTTTATTAAATTACCAAATAAGGTTTTAGTAACTGATAAATATTATCCTCAGGAATCCTTCCAATCAATCTGAACGTTTGTATATTAAAAAAAATGGATACAAAAATAGGTAAACAGTCTAGCGCTTTAATGCATAGGTTTTGCAGTAACGTGATTGCCAAATTGGTATCAAAAGGGCCCCTTATTTTAGTACCTTATTAAAGGTACGCTTCCGTGAATGCACAAGTAACCGCTATGCGAAACGGCTTCATGAAATTATTAAATTAATTTCTCGTGTTACGAATAAGGTGAAGTATTTGAGGGATAAATATTGCCAATTTGGAGGTTAATTTTTTTTGTTGCCTTTTAAATTCTAATTCATTTATTGCCTTCTTATTCTTAGTAAATTTATAAACAAGATCTTAATAGTACGTGTTATATCGTTTATGACTGCTGTATCATATAATACACAAAGTCATTAACTTTCAACAAATACCTACTTGATGCAACTTTCTTTCGAGTTCGGGCACTGATATCAGACAGATACGGCATACTAAATTTTTATTTACATCTATGATTTGTACATTTTAATCTAATGAATACATTTTCAAACAATTTATAATAGTATTATGTGAATATAATATTTTAATTAACCATAAACTTAAGAGGAAAAAAAAATTGCAGTTCTTATACACGTTAGAAGCATTTCTTAGGTAACCAATATATTTTAGTTCGTTTGCAAAATTTCTGAGCTGATGAACCCACAAATTACACTATATGCAGTTCATCCGTTACGCTTACGTTATTTGCAGCTTTTTATCTAAGGTAAAAATATGGTATTTCCCAATGCAACATATATTTAGTATAAAGTAAAGGTTTTGTATTTAGTTGATTTGCTATAATTTTAAAATAATAGTTTAAAATAAATTGTTTATTATAACACGATTTACTTTGTTGTTTTGTAGCCAAAACTAATATTTAGTACAGTAAAAATAGTTGAGAATAGGTTTCGCGGTATTTTTAAAATCTTGTGTATATATACGATACATATAGACAAGATTTTTGCCATTGTAAATGATGAATGATATAGCAGGATTTTGGGTTATATTGACTACAAAATGTTCAGTACAGTACAATTGCCGTTAACAGATTATTTTTTACATTTGACTCAATTTTTTTGAAATAAGCACAAAAAAATTATAAAATTTGTGTATGTTTTATAGAATTAGTATTCATAAACAAGATTCGATGGCTGTTATTTTCTTTTATTGAGTTTATACACGTTAATTTTTTTTATACTTATATCAAATAGATGTGAAGAATTCATTAGTATCTTAAGATGCATAAGTTTATCATTAAAGTTTTCATGTTGGAATTGGATCTGCATTATTGACATTTATTAAATTTATTTAATTAGTTCTAATTACAAAATTTTCTGTAAGCCTTCAAATATTAAGCAGGCGACTCTATGTATTGGAACAAAAAGTTGCAGATAATTTACCCTACCGGTATTTCTCTTAACTTCATATAAGTAATGTCCTCTTTTGAGTTTAGTTGTGTGTGCGTGTCCTTAGCTATGCGCTGGCGCAAGTTGAATCTCGTGCTGACCATATTTAGTGTATATTATGGCATTTAAAGTAGTGTTACCTTAAGACAAGTGTGCTTGATTGCAACATATGGCTCACACGTTAAGACTCGACTGTGTTGTTTTCTAAATGGTTGATTGATAAATATTTAGCATGAAATTAATTTCACATTTCAAAACGATGTTTCTCTTTATTAAAGCTATGTTACATGTTTTGTTATAGCTGCCTTATATTTTATTTATTATGTGATATGTGAGAAGGTTGACTATACAGCTGTTTAATATATATATAACTAAAAACGATGAAACGATCATTATTTACATTTTACATTACATATTAAGTAAAGTACATTTGGCATACAGATATGTATTATATAAATACTAAATCCTCGCTAATATTTGTATTTTGGAATAATGGCAAGATATTGTCAACCTGGTTTCGGGTAGTACAGTTAGGTCGGATAGTACAGTTAGAATATGTGATTAAGATCATAACCATTTTTTTTCTTTATTTTACTTTACACATAATTGATATACTCGTAATATTAAAAGGCTATAAATAATCATGTATTTTTCATAACTTTTTAATATTACATCAGGTTTAAAGAGTTTATCATGTAATTTCACGATAGAGTGCTTTATAATTTTTAGTGTACAGACAATTTTTATTTCAATTAAATTGCTATTAAAATTATTGTGTTAGATAATAGTCCCAATGTGTAGAATGTTCGGCGAATGTTTCTGGACGAGAAAATACAAAGCTGTATTTCATAAATTTGCATTTTTATTATGTTAGAAAGTTCTCCCTGTTCTCCCTATATTCATTCTAAAATGTTGCCTCATAAAAACTACCATAAGAACTGGCCGGAATACACGCTTTGCTTTATTTAATCTCGTTAGTCCATTTGTGCTACTCAGTTTAGGCTTGATATTTTGTGTCAACATGATTTAACCACCTAACATAGGTACTAATTTTAGTGCGAAACATTTTTGACAAAGAAAGAATGTACACGAAAAACGGATAGGACGAGGCAGGTAGGGTATCAAGAATATCGTAAGTTCCTACCGGATGGCGTAGAATAAGAACATCGTCACCATGTGCATCGCTATTTTATGTATATTCGTATACTTTATTCATCGCTTTGATTTACAGTTTTCTCTTTTTTCATATGGTAATACAAGTTAAATAAAAATAAATACATTCTCAATGATATAAAGAGTTCGTCGTTGACGACCGTACTAATGTAAATGTGTATTATCTTTGCATTATGGACAAGCGACTTTAGATAGCTGTGCAGTTTATTGTCCTTTACTATATAGTTTTTTAATATTCCAATAGGGTTAGTGGCATTATTCCCCAGCTGCGATTTTCTCCGAATAATACCACTTTTAAGAACAATTAATGTGTTGCGTTTTCCTCCGAAAATTGATCTGGACATAACTCGTTAAAAAATTGAAGGTACAGACAAATGTTTTAAAAAATAATTATTTATTAAAAAATGTAATCACAGTGCTTAATAATTGGATCACAGTTTTCCTATAATTTAACACTAATGTTTAGATGTTGATTATATTTAAATTATTTTATAAAGATATCTATTGATGTAAGTATAACATCATCAATATATAGAATCTTCCTATAACTACTGATTTCTAGTTTTAATTCTAAATCTAGGGTAAAAGCCTTTTAAATGTATACAATTACAGTGTTTAGTTACTGAATCACACTGTGATTTACAAAGTGTTGTTCTGAGTCTGGGTGTTATTTTTGTCCGTTTCATGAATGTTTGTAAGTCCCCCGCGACACGATGTATTCCTAATGCGGGAGTTGTCTTTTTAATAAAAACAAAAAAAAAAGGCGGTATTTACCTAAGCAGCTCACCAGACCCTTTTTTTTTTCCGTGCGGCAATCCCCTCGGATAGAGCGCACCAGCCCCTGACTATTTGACCGTGTGCGCATTTAAATTAACGTATGTCAAAATGATTGCGGAAGATGTTGATTTAGATTATCTCTAAATCAACGTCTATCGGTGGTTCAAGAAGGACCTTCTTTGTGGGATAAATCAAATGAAGATTTCATGGACTAACAATCCCTACACTAAAGCTACGACGTCGGTAAGTATAGTGGCATTACAATGCGGCATCGTAGCACTCGTGTTGCATTGCACACGGTCTCGAGGGTCTGTCTTAGAAATGGGCGTTCGAAGGTTCTACTTTCGGCCCTTTTTTAGGGTTCCGTACCTAAAAAGGTAAAAAAGGAACCCTTATAAGATCACTTTTTGTCTGTCTGTCCGTGTGTCACCACCGATTTTCTCGGGAACGGGTAGACCTAGCAAGTTGAAATTTATACCAGATACTGAGGTCTATGGTCCCTATTATGTGTATAAAAATCAACCTGTCAACACGATAAAAAGATATGGGCAAAATTTCGATTTTCGCGAAAACTTGTAAGTACCAAAAGTTACCTTAATTTTCAACATTTTTTATGTTTCAGAATTTGCTCTTTACTTGTGCTGTAAGATTTGCTTTTAACCAAAATTGACAATTCTAGGTAATCCGGAAGCCACACGGGGGGGGGGGGGGAGGGTCGTCTACCTGTTGTTGTAGATGGCCCGAGGTATGTCGGGACACCAGGGACTTCCTTTCTAGGGTATACCTGGTTCCCCGGCTATAAGTACCCGAGACGGCGTTCGGTTTTAGTCGGTTCGAGTCCGACATGCCACCGATAGGTGGTATCCGAGGGGATTTCCGCACGGAAAAAAAAAAGTCATCCGGAAGGTTACCCTATAGGTTTTGAATCACGAAATTTGGCAAAAAGAAACGTCTTACAGCACAAATAAAGGAATAATTCCAAAAAATAAAAGTTGAAAATTAAGATAAATTTTGGTACTTACAAATTTTCGCGAAAATCTACCTAATATCTGGGTAGGTACGGAACCCTCGGCGCACGAGTTCGACTCGTACCTGACCGGTTTTTTGTTTTTAGTATAAATGTATTAACGACTTACCTCACCTTGTCAAGGGTAATCTCGAGATTGTGTTGTTTGTAGATGAACATCACTATTATTTAGACTAAAACGGATACTTACTAATTTCAAACAAAAAACGAAGTGTATACGTTTTACTATGCTAAACGTCAAGCCAGTGAAAACTGATGTGATGATTGTCGGGGTAGACCTTGTGGACACTACGACATTTTTAGGTATAACACTAGATTCTAAGCTACAATGGGGCCCACATATTGATAAATTATCAAGTAGACTCAACTCAGCAGCATACGCAGTATGAACATTTTTAGAGTTGTCTGATGTTGATACAGCACAACTTGTTTATTTGTTATTTTCATAGCATAATATCGTATGGTATTCTACTGTGAGGGAATGCTGCCGACATTCAAACTTTTTTTGTGCTGCAAATGAGAGCAATTTGAGCAATTTATAATTTAGGCAACCGCTGTTCATTGGGGCATTTTTTTTTTACATAACCATAATGACTAAAATTATATATGAAAAATGTAATATATGTTCATAAAAACAACAATAGCTTCTTGAAAAGAAGTGATGTACATGCTTTAAATACCAGAAATAAAATAAACTTGAGTACCTTCCTCTAGGCTCCTAAAGATAATTCGTTTCGAGGTCAATGTGTCCGACTCTACAATGAAATCCCAAACAGTGTAGGTACAATATTTTAGTATAAACAAATTTAAATCCACAATAAAACGTAAACTATGTCAGAAAGCTTATTACTCGATTGGGGATTACATAGAAGACAAGAATGCTTAGGATTAATTTAACACGGGCCATTTCTTAGTGGATATGTGATGTGGGATAATGTCTTTTATTTAATTTTCCATTTTTATATGTTTTACTTCACTTTATTTTTTATTCCATCTTTTTTCTATATCTTGTTTTCTCTTTCATTGCCTATTTACCTTTTAGTCGTTAAAACTTACATACTGGCACACATCAAAACAATGTTGTGTATATTTAATGATGTCATTGTTATCTGTTGATTAAAAAAGAGTGGTCGTGAGTTTGTTTACCCTTTCTTTTCATGAGGCTCAACTCCTTGGAAATGGGCGGTTGTAGATCGGCACAGGCATAAAAGGGATTTTCGATACGTTCTCGTATATAAATATGTACGAGTACGTATATATTACAATCTCTGTTTTGTCAAATATTTAGAAAACTAAATAGTTTGCTAAATATTTGACAAAACAGAGATTGTTGCTATTGTGTGTGTTGTTCTATGACTTTAGAGTCTACACAAGAGACGATTTCAAATAATTTTATTTGAAATCGTCTCTTGTGTAGTGTCTATTTATTTTTTTATGAAATAAAATGTTTGAGTTTATCAATCATCACATTACACATAGGGTCGCCTAATAAATAACAGTCTTTATTATTAATTACCTTCATTCCGATTTGTACTTATCAACTAAGTTTCTTTAGTTTTCTGCATTACCTACGGTGAAATCAAATGCATTATTAAGGCAATGACATTGTTTTATTATAAAACCATGCAACATGATATTAATATCGATATGTAATCTATACATACAAAATTCAAACGGAAGGTATAGTAATCAGTTTTAAAAGAAATTATGACATCAATACAAATTAAAAACAATAAGACAAAAGCAATTTTAACATCACAATAAGTCGCTTAGTAAATATTTTAATTTAGTAAAACTTCTCAGTAGCTATGATACCCTCTAAAAAGTAAAAAAGTGGATTTCTAGACTATCGAGTTTAGTAAACTTATCTACGTTATGAGATAATAAAAAGATTTGATAGAGGGAAAATCATAAGTAATAAACTCGCCAATTTTATTATTCTACAAGTTTTTAAAAATATTTGTTCCTATGTTTATATTTAATTGAAAACAAATGAGGTAAAAAAATGCATTAGCTGCCGATCGCGGCAGCTGCTTCGGAACAACTTAAAATCATTAATACCCTGGCATTTAACATAATAATAATCAAATAACACTGAACAATATAGTTGAATACTTAGCAGAAACATTTGATTTCATTGTCATGGGTATTATAAGGATATATAAATATATCAAACAATAAAAAATAATTATAAAATACCATAAGTATCAAAAGTCGGTTAAATACATTCAATTTCATGTCATATACTGTCAGTATCAACACATTTCTAAGTAACTTGGTAAAATAAATTTATTTCAATAACTTTACAATGCAGAAATACAAAAGAGAAATTCAGTAACCAATTCTTGTAGGTATAATCAATTGCCAATACTTCTTGCTTTACATGGAAACGGTTTTTTGTCACTAAGGTATACCAACATCATAATTACTTATTATGCAATTTACTACAATTTATTAACATATATTTATGCAGAAAAATATGTACAGAGCTAATAATATTGAAGCTTACCTACGCTATATTATAATTAAACTTATGTTAAAAGTTTAAAAATATGTTTTAAAAGACTTAGAAACACTAAAATTGCATTGATAGTTGTAGTTTTTACTTATATTTTACCACAAGCTTTCCAGTAGGTACCTACGTTATGCATCTTAACCATGAAAGTGGCTTGTTTTTGTTTGTCATGTATTGTACTTGAACTTTCTGTAATTCCTATTTCAATTAATCAAATGTTAGTAATTACACATACTTACTTGTTGAATTACTTCTAGAAATAAAGGAAGAAAGTCCAGGTACATGTAAAAACTGAAAACTAAAAATATTTATCCAGGTAATCTTAATTAATAACGGAAGTGGCCTTTCCTGGAACGTTCTTCATGATAAACTCGCATCGGAGAATAGTTACCGTTTGAGGATCCATTAGCGTTTAATCCTGAAATGTAGATACAAAATTTTTAGAAACATATTTAATACCTGGAGGTAGTCTGCTCAGCTGTTCTAAAGTAAATGTAAGGATTAGCGATATTTAAATTATTAACTCATTGTATTATTGACCAAGTCAGACCATAAACTTCAAAATATTTAAGATCTACTTAAAGCAATACTTTATTTGTCTTCTGTTTTAGTTTTATATGAATCAAATAACAATATTCTATGACATATTCTCCATATCGCTATCTAGATGTAAAAAAAGCTTCTAGTATGAGCTCTCATACGAATAAACATACCTACATATTTTTATGTACCTAAATGAATATATAGAGGCAAAGCAGGAGCGGGAATCGAACTCGCAACCACTGATGTTGCAGTCTAATGCACTACTACCACATAGATAGTCAAATCTTACATTTATGCATTAATAAGCAACAAAATAATCAAGTTACCTTTTGCATTAAGCTGTCCATCTACAGAGCAAGCTTTTGAAAAACAAGAAAATAATAATTACCAAACAAAATTCAATAAGATTAGCCGAGAACATTCATCTGCAGCTTTAGATACATTAGCTTAATTCTATCAGTATACGACATGGTAGTTACATGGACAATGGTAGTAGGTACATTATGAAAGAGACAAAGCCCTTTGATATTTAGGCCCGATTTTTTTTTAATACATACTCTGTTCTGATTAAATATGCATTAAACAAGGGACGCGTATTACACAATTGTAAATCACAAAAAAGCAGCATAACACACGCATACCAATATGAGATATAAGGTTTCCCTGTGTAACTGGTGAAAGGTAATAAAACTCTTGTCAAGTTTATTGAAGCATTTTTGTATTAGCACATCGCAAATAAATTACTTTACATCTTCAAACATCTTTTAGGTGTTGCCATGTTAAACATACCTTGGAGTAGATGGTGTGGAGGTGATACAGCAGGAGCGGCGCATCTTGGCGCTAGCAGCAAATGGTACAACGCGAGGTAAATGGCAGCCGTCAACAGAGCGACAACACCGAGGGCTCGGTAAACACTTCGGATTGACTCCAGAGGCTGTTCCAGCGACACGAACCCGCTAACGATCGCGCCTATGCATCGCCCTAATAAATTATGTTTAATAGTTAAGGTAATATTTTTCAAAGGTTTAGCGTAACTTGAGAACTTAACGTCGTTACTTATAAACTGTACAACACAAACTTCCCAATTGACTCGATGTAATACAGGTACTTTGTACTTTGGGTCCTTTTTCTAACTTTGTTAAGGTATAGTTATTGTTACTTCGATTGAATATTGCGAAGTATTGTTATAATTGTTTTAATTTTGTTTCGTAAGCTTACCTATACAGAAATGTGCTATGACTGGTAGAGCCTGACCGGTGGCAGTGTATTTCCTTGGTACCAGGTGACGGAAATATAAAACAGATGTCACCCAGACTAAGCTTAGGGTGAATACCTCGAGAATCTCGCACACAGCCACCCACGTATAATCATTGCTGTATGCTAAACCTGAAAAACAAAATTATCATTTACATTTTTATACTTTACATTTTTATTAGTACATATTTCCTTTCTTAAGAAAAACTTTAAGTAGCTTTACGTCTGCGTGTGTTTGTGTCGAACTACCGACTAAGTAATTGTGGATTCCATCTGTGTATTGTACTCGTACGTGGAGCCATTGTTCCCAGAAGCATTTAGCTTATTTAATACGCGACTAATAATAGTGATATATTACTACCAGCCCTATTAAGAAATACAAAAAGTTTTGTAATATGCATTGCATGCAATTAAATAATATTCGAATAACTAACAAGTTTGATGAGCGCCTTTATTTATTGGATGTCATGATGGAATTGGGGTGGCACTAGAATGTGGTGTTTTTACAGAAAAAAACTTATGTGAGATGCTTAATACTTCTAGTGAGATCTGATTTCGCTTACTTTTTTATAAATCCAAATGGTAAAGAAGTGTAGTGTACCTACAGATAAATGTATTAATCTCTTCTATCACGTACCAGTGTAGCGAACGCCATAGAATGTGAAAGCCATGATAAAGACGTTCGAGTGCCCAATATAGTCGACTAAGGCCTCTGCCCACCAGAGCGCAGGTATGGCTGGCAATGCTCCCGCAGTCAGTGTCAATCCCAATTCGGTTGCAGTGCCGTTTAAATCCAATACAGTCCTAAAAATATGTAAGTTTTTAAACAATTCTTAAGCGAATGATCATGTTAAACGAATATTATAATCGAAATTAATCAGCTAATTAGGTAAAGTAGATACTGTTATAATAAAACGTTTAATACATTTTTTCTAAACTCTAAACGGACAAAACAGTATGTAGCTATTTTATTAAATAAGTATAATCCACGCATTTTACGAGTTTTACATCATAATCGAACGATGCCTATTGCAGAGAATTAGACTAACTGTAACTGTATTATAAAACCATGCACATTGCTCATAACCGTTTCAATTACGTTACCGTCAAATGAGACCTCTGCATTTCTTACCAAGGCAAGTAAGCATCGATGCCGCTCCATAGAGTACCCAGGAGTGCGACCACCGCAAATACCGCCGCAGTTTCAGCTCCGTACCGCCGTACCGTGTTCATGGGCATCGCCAGAACGCCCGTTGATGTATGCCACCACCACTCGGGTGTTGATAGCGGCATGTGACTTTAGAGAAGGTTTAAAATGGTATTAAAAGCTACTACATAACAGACAATTAACTGAAAGACGTAGGCGTCTTATATCAGCTGCGCTCTAGGATCTCTCATTTTTATTACGTATGGAAACTCTCGTGAAAAAGATGCAAAATAAAGATAGTAACCTTTATGACCCCAAATAAGCTAAGTTGCAATTAATAAACTAAAATAAATTCTTGACTAGGTCTAGAAATAATAAAACTGACACTAAAAATTATGTTATTATTAATGAGATAGAATGTCCAGTGTGTATCTGTATAGTGGCAGAAAATATGGCAGTATAAGTGTTACCCACCTACAAACTAGTTGTTATACATAAATATTAGGTACTTCCTATGTAAAGTAACCCTGAGGAAGATAATTCTATTTAGTAAAAACCAACCATTGCGCTCAAGAAATATTCTTGTCTTGCTTTTTACAAATAGTATGCAATTAACATCTAAAAGTAGACAAGCAACTATCTCCATAATTTCATTTAGCATTTGAACTATTGCGCAATGTTTGTAGGTACTTCTTGTCCCTAAACTCAAAGTTTCACAGTTTGTATTTAAACACAAATCATAATAAGTTATTGAGGCATAGATTTATGTAAAGTAATTATGATTCATTGAGAAGATGCAATAAAGCAAATTAAAACTGACGCAATATATTATGTAGCTATCGATGCATGATTCATTTGTGCCTACTCAATATTCATTCACAATAGTCATCATTTAAAAGTATATGTGTATCTGTATACCTACTTACTAATATATAAAAATGTTAACGATATCAGGATAGAGATAATACTTTTTACGGACTTTAAATAACCTGACCTTAATATTTTTTCTTACATTTAAGGTCATATCTTTCCCTCTTTCGCGTTTCCGAAAAGCTTATTAGTCCATGTAATTTAGCATTTGACTTCGAGTTTTTTAATTTCAGTTGGAGAATAGATAAAGTAAATGAATATAAAGAAAGTTTATATGTAAATCTTTATCTTAATTATATTGAAGTTGCACTAAATGTTTTTGTTTCAATAGTTAATACAAGCGAGACCATAGTTTGTCAATTTAAATATGTTTGTGTCTCAAGTATCAGGACTAATTTTTAGGTCAACCAACTAACATTTTTAGGTCTTTTAAGTTTCTGATGATTTCAACAATTAACCGACCTTATTTATCAATATAGATTACAAAACTTAAAAACCCCCAAATACTTAGATTCTAATAAAATTAACAAACTACTAAAAAGTTATAACATGCAATTTACTTGATACGCGTGTAAACTTTTTCATTATATCTGTATATCTATTCTTTCGATCTTTTGATTCAAATGGCTCAAACTAATAGTGTGAACTTAATGTACATAGGCACATTATGCACAGGCACATACCTACATATACATACAATGTATATGTAGGTATGTGCCTTACCTACTCAATAAATAATAATTACTAAAACATTAGTTTTTTACTAAATTACCAAAAAATACCAAAAAAAAACGTTATTTTGATTTATTTATAGAATAGAATTATAAACTCGCTTATAAGTAGGAAAAAATAATAAACTCACCCATCAAATATCAATATTAGTGCCCCAATAATCATGAAAATCGCATGTAGTATAAATGGTACGAGGTACGGGTTTTCAGTCAATTGTTCTGCGGCCAGACCAGCCAGAGGAGGGAAGACCGCCAGTCCGATAGTGCCGAAGGCTAATTGCCTCCCGACATCACCTCGGCCTAAAGACGTTTCTCTAGTTGCTATGACACAGGCCGCACCAAGTAAAGCCAGTCCGGCAGTTGGCCAGATGTCTGCCAGAATTCTGAAATAAAAAAAGGAAAACTTAGGGAAATCATAAAGAATGACTTACAGGGATACCTACTCTTTGGGCCCGCCGGCTATCTATGTATTGTCTTCTTCATATTGATTTTGAATATTACTTAGCTTTCATTATTGAATTAGCCGCAACTGTAGTAGGTGTTTTATAGAAAATTGCGAGAGTCCTTAGACCTCCGTAATCCGACCTTATTTCAAAATTCGTTGTACGAGTATACCGATGTGACCTTTAAATTACATTCTTACTAAATTTAAGGTCTCTAGTACAAAAAGTCCAAGGACTTTCAATTAAAATTGTGAGGGTCCTTAGAGCTTCTTAGTCCGGCCCGGTCATAAAATTTATTTTTAGTTAACGTGCCCTTCTTCTGAACTACTCGTACATCTCCGCCAAATTTTAGGTCTCTAGTCTCAAAACCAACACTTTCATAGAAACTTGAGAGGTACTCCTAAATCCGACCCTATTACTAAATCCGTCTCAAACAGACGATTCCTACTCATAAACTAGCCCTTTGCAAAATTTAATTTTTAAAGGTTCAGTAGTTTTCCAGATTTCGTGATTAGTCAGAAGGTGATTGGTACCACTTTACGTAATGTACTGTACTGATCCTAAACTAGACCATCTTAAAAGTGTGAACACGCACCGTTCTGTAACACATTATAGTGTTACAGATGTCTATATATCTAGCTATAGACTTCAAAAATATTCAATCAGATCACATTTGTATTTATTGTAGGGGAAAAAGGGGCAATGGGAGTCAGTGGGCAATGGTCAACGTTCTAACATCTAAACGAAAATACCTAAAGAAAAGAGTGTTGTCCTAAATGATTCGTTAGGTAACAGCTCGAGATCCTCCGAATACTCTTTAGTACGTGGCAATAATTCACAATTTCACTGCCGCACTATTTCAGGCATTTTCGATGCAATTTTACGGGTGCACAAAATAAGTGATAGGTGCATTTTATTATAAATGTAAGTTGTTAGAGTAGTTTGTTGTGCGCATAGGAACCTAAATTATTGATTAAGAAATCTTTTTGTTGTGTTTTAATGACAAAATATATTTTTCTTTTCATTTGTTACACGTTATGTATAATTGAGTAATAAGAGGCACCGTAATGCGGCCCATGGGAGTTATATGACACGGCCATTAATTGCCATTGTTTATTACATAAGAACACCGAAAATATGCCCTATTTAACAAATAAAGCATAGTGGTTGTCTATTACACTATCAAAAGCAGAGACTCGTGAGTCAAGGCCACTCTATGAGGGATACTGCTAAAGCCATGTATATACCCTTTTCAAGTTTCCAAAAGCAGTCAAAACAAAAATAGCCACAGCTAGGTCGGCTACCTGCATTCATAGCAGAGATATAAAAAGTTCTAGCAGACCGGATGAAATAAATATTTTAAGCTTTTTATGGAATCACAGTAAGTAAGTAGGACAGCATATCAATATGCCGAAACGTTTAAAATTTTGCCTGTAGTGCTAAGATACAAGATCCTGTTAAATATTTGCTGCCAAGGATTCCCCACTATTAGATATTAGTCTTAATCAGATAGGTAATGCCAACGATTTCGTTAACTGCTAATTATGTGATGAATTTGGCTGTCCAAACTTTAATTTGTGGTACAGGTGAACTTCTCATGGATTGTGGGCACATGCAAACTGCACAGGATGGGATTTGCGATAAGGTTACGTGTGCGACAATTGTTAATCTAGTCCGACTCTCATTATCCGCTTAGTGACTATAAATACCCTCAAATGTGGACAATGGTAGTCATAGTTTTTTATTTTCAAAAATTTTAATAGCTATTAATATGTTATTCCAAAGGTAACGAAACTATCTAAGGCTGATTGTACAATAATGAAACTACCATCAGAGTTGATTTTCATAAAGTTTAAATACATGTTTTGTGTTTTGTATTAATTCTTGCTTAAGTGACTCCCATTACCCCTTTTCCCCCTTACCTTTAAGCTTTTAGGTTTTTTTTTAGTTTGTACAAAATTTTTAGAAAGACAAAAAATAAGAGGTAAGTCATTCAATGTTTCTTCTAACTTTTTAAAATACTTGCCTCGTGCTACTTGCGTATCATTTGAAAGCTGAAAACGGATTCCTGAATTTTTTCTTTATATTTTATATTACTAACGAACTTACCTTAAAACTAAGTAGGACCAAAACGTGGCGCTCGGGTCCCCAATCACAAGTCTGCATTCAGCGTCAGCTAGTACACCGTCTGGTTCATCGTATGGGTCAAGAACTTCACAGCGAACCGCTGCCCTACAGTCCGGCTCGTACATAATTAAGTCCGCTAGCCGGTCCTCTGGCACCAAACATTTCGACGGACCAGCTACGAAATAAATAATATTTATTTATGATATTTGTTACGGATACATATTTGTAGGTAAATACCAGTTTACGTAGAACCAGAATAAGAAATAAGAAAAACGAGTCTATGCAATTTGTTATTAAGATAGATTTTTACGGTAAATTGTACTCTTAAAATATTAGTTATTTAATTTTAATTTAAATCGAGCTTAATAAAAATAGGCATTTGTGTAGCTAAAAGCTTCTGTTAGAATAATTTCCCTAACATACGCAAGTTTTTTCTTTAACTTAAAGGTCTCTATTGAAACCCATACTTTCCAACTGTCGATAAAACACCCGCGTTGGACACCTGCTTCTTTTTGATAATCAGCTGCAATTACAAAAGGTGCATTTAGCTCGGCAGATGTCGAACTTTTTGTAGCTTGGGGCTCCAGGCTACAAAAAGCTGCAACAAAATGTTCCTAGGTAGGTAAGGTTACCCGCGTGCAAGGTCTAAACCTTCACAATATATGGTACATATATTACGGTACAGTCTATTTTCTTTATGTGCCATCTTTTCATATTATTCAATTCTATCGATACTCTAAAGCAGACAATAGACGACATTTTCGGTATTTGTATTTTATCGATTTTATAATTGTTCAACGCGTGTCAATGGTAGTCCTATTAAAACGTAAAAAGTAGTTTCGTCCCTTAGGTTGGTTAAGGGTGATATATATTATCTTTAGGGTACCTATTATTTAAAAAAGTTTTAAAAAGTTTTATAGTGTCATAATTTAGTTACGTTGATTATTATATCAGATTATTAACACAGTTTCAGTGACCGACACTCAGACATACATATATTTTTGTTGTAACTTGAACAGTTAACGACTTTATCAAATTATTTAACCATTATGTCATAATTTATTGTTCACTATTGGGGTTATTAAAACTATTTTTGTGCAGGTGTGGCTGATGTCATGGGAAACATTGAATATGCTGTCTGGGATGAATGAAAGGGGTAAGTAGGCAAGTGTCTTATGGTTGCCGTACACAGTAAGAGTACGTAAAATCTTCTAAATACCTACATATTTTTTTCAGATTCCTTAGTAGGACAAAAAACCTGTTTTTTTAAGTTTAAATAATCACATCTGGATTATATATGATGTCTACATAATATATATAGGTAGATAGGTAGGTACAGGTATATAGGTAAATTAGTTTTCGTAAAACCACGCAATAGGCCAAACCCTACACAAGCGAGTAAAGTTTACACCAATATTTTATATACATTGTGTACCTGGACGATATGTGCACCAATCAGAGTCAGTGCTGTTGTCTTCTGGTAGTTCAGGTGCTAGGAGAGAGAGCGGCAGACGTAACCTGGCCTGATGTTGCATGTACACTATACATGTGCCGTTGTAACAGAAGTGGGGCGGGTTCGCTTCGAAATACATATGTTGGTGGGACTCTTCTTCTTCTGGGTTAGAAGTCTATGAAATATAAAATAATACTTAAACTTCTCGCAAGAAAATTAAAATTGCAATTCACAAACAAAAACGAATAGAAACGACTCATAAAAAACATGACATATTTCATCTACTGATGACTTAAAATTTACAGGAATCACTTACTTTGCTAACAGTGTAAATAACAAATTCAAGTCTGATGGCCTATTTATTGCCTGCAGTTTTTCCGGTGATACACAACGTTATGTCTTTACCTATTCTAAATGGAATCTATATCTACATAATATCAGATCGCTATAAGAGATCATGGTAGGCCTGCTGGTCCTATATTTTAGCTATTTGATTAGTGAATGGTTAGGTATGACATAACAATCAATGACAATGCCCAATCAAAATCGGGTATAAAATTATTATGTCTATTTCTTACAATCAACCTATAGGGTATATCTAAAGCCCATTATCTCGAAAACATCTGTAAAAGGTAAATTAATTGAACGTTCGTACGGAGTTACCACAGTCAGGTGTTTGTCGCTTTTTATTTTAAAGGTTAGTTAGTCTAAGGTAAATACCAGAAAAACAGATTTAAATAAGGTTAAGATTTGTTGATTTATAGAAGATAAGATTTATAAGATTTTAAAGATTATAACTATATTTAGTCGAGTAAGCTTACCGTAACATTGCTAATGTACATAGGACGGATGGTAGAGGTGGTCGACGTCGTAGTGAACGGCTTCTTCACCCATGTCATGTTCTCGTCTGCGCACCCGTATTCGCATGATGTCACCGCCAGCACCCCGGTCTTCAAAATACAATCAAAAGCAATAAAGTGTAAAAGTTTTTTTTGTAATTTTATTATAAAACAAACCGCTAAGTATGTATTTTTCATTTCTTTTGTTCCAACATAGCATTGGTTAAGTTTAATATTCGTTTTAATAAATTCAATGATATGTAGGTATGTTACATTGTACCAGGTCCTAGAATTAGATGTACCAGTACGTGTCACCGTGGAATCACACACAACTAAGAAGATAAATACTGCCTTAAGATTATTGGAATCCTACAATGAAACAGTTTATATGACGTGTACTGACCTTCTCTCCAGACCATCTGTTGCATCGCATGTCTTCCTTACAAACTTCTTGCATGACATAAGCGCTGTTCTCATCGCACATAAATAGCACCTGAGGTCTTCGAGCCTGAATAAGAAAAAAAAAAATTGGTTATGTCAGTAATACAGAAAATAAACGAAATATACTCATTATTTTTGGGTTCCAAACGTTATAAAAATCAAACTAAAGTGACGTATTAAAACAGTTTATGGTTCTGGGGCGATTATAACCAAAATTTTATGTTTAAAACTATATATCTATGTGAGTGTAACATTCACTTTTAACTATTCTCGTTGCGATACATTTGGGCCAGGCTGAACAGGAGTGTTACCAAGGCCTAACGGAAAACGGGTGTTAAGCAGTTCTTTGGTTGCTTTTCACCGTCAGTGTGAGTGAGTGAGGTTACCGGAGCCCAAACAATCTCCCCCACGGGTTTGGAGGGGGAGGGGGGGCGGTAACGCACTTGTTACTCTTGAGTTGAAAGTGTCCATGGGCAGCGGAAGTCACTAACCATCAGGTGACGCGTCTGATCGTTTGCCTCTTACCATAAAAAAATATATCCGTAGTTTACTCAATTTGTTATTCCGTGTTTAGATGAACACTTTGTAATTAATGTTTTCACAATGAAAGAATGATCTATCGGAAAAACCTACAAGACTCTGATCAGTTTTAATAAATTATCTAAGTATACAAATTCTAAGTAGATAGAGATACCCACCTCATGCCGTTCCGTGTACGGTACAGCTAGTAGCAACGTATAGAAAAGAGCGCTAAGTATCAGGCAGATGGCTGTTATTATGCGAAGCAACCGCCCTGATCCACTAGTGCTGGTCCCACCTCCTGTAGAACCTCGCCCCACTGACAACCTGCACAGAAAGATCAAAGATCAACAAAAATAATATCAGTTTCGTTGTGCCATGTTTAAATACCGCATATCGAATGTAGAGCAATCTTTAAGTGGAATAGTAAAGAGTAACCGATCAGCTATCCTTTATCGACCAATGTTTCCCACAGAATACGTGAGAAATCCAAAAAGTTTACCCTTAAGGTGCAGTTCTAATACTAGAACTATAAACTTGCACTAAAACTTCAAAGCGGCTTCAAAACTTTATAAAAGCGGACTGTTCTGTTCACATCTGTTGCTTCTCCCCGTTTACTCTTCAATGGATTTAACATTATCCTGGCCCTCCTATACTCAAACGACTTGTTAACTCTAATCGTATTCTTAGCCTCGATCCTTTATGTCTGAGTATTGCCTAATACTAATACTCGTACATGAACATAATACTCACTTATCAATAAGTGGCCCTAATACGGCAGGGCCGAGAAGCGCTAAACATGGTGCAACTGCCGATATGACACGAGATTCTCCTTTATCTAAACCCACTGATAGCATGTGCAGTGGAAGAAACGGGAATATACAGCCGATACCTGAAACAAAATAATTGATTAAAACTAGCTTCGACTTTTGGATTTTTCGTACTGCTCTAATAGGTCTATCTACTTAATTTTATTTGTTATTTATTAATCCCTGAATTTAATTAGATTCGAAATAGGTTCAGGCATTCAATACCATCATCTTGTAGCAAACCTCGGTTCGATAGCTAAGTACACGTGTAGTGTTCTCTTATTTTATGGCGGTGGATAGAGTCGCTGGAGTTGCATGAGAGTGTTAGAGGGAGGGAAAGTGTAGTAATGTATACATTTTACAACTGGTTTTGCGTTTGTGTATTGTCACTGTACTTAATGTGTGACTGACGTATTACCTATTACTATAGGTAATATCCACACCCCTCTAATTTAATAAGTTTGGAATTCATTTGTAATGTACATCCATCGATCTGTTACCAGTTTTCTATATCTAAAAAACTACTTCTTCGTATTGAAGGCTAATCAATCACAAAAAGTTGTATGAAGAATGTTAATCTCTACCACTACCAGTTTGCAACATCTAGTAAACTGGTATTATATGGATGAACGGAATGGAAATTATAAACATACCATGCTCGTTTTCCTAACCTTATTTTAGCCCAGATAGTAACCTAGTTTGATTAATAGAGTTCAGTAACCTTAGTATACGGAGCAAAGTTTTTCCGTGCTTTATTGTTGTTGTTTAGTCTGCAGACTGCAGTTACTTGTGTGACGGTTTGTAGACACAAGTACTACGTTTAGGTATGTACTATCAGGCTATAATGCATTACTTTACTAAACTTGCCGTTAGTTAAGCTTTTGTATATTTCTTATTATTATTAATGTGTCGGCAGACTGTAATTTAGGAAAGGAAGGAAGGAGAAACAAGTAAAAGTTTTTTCTTCTTTCTTCTGTATTCCAAGATATTGTCCTGTATTTACAAGTTTAATCCAAGATTTACTGCAATGTGTTAATTTAAACGAATTCAAATTACACTTAGAATGTTTTCGTGAACACACATTTTTCCATAATTATGAGACTTGTTTGCAACTTGAACACTTTTTAAAATATATAGATTTTGACGATATAAAACGTAGATAGATAGCGTTATTGAACAAGACAAAAAGAACGTAATTATAGAGCAGTTTGTATATATTTGAATGAGGCTTATATTCTAGGGACAGTTACATAAAGAATGTAAAACTAGTTACGAGTATATAAAATAATTGTACAATTGTATAAATCGCGAACATAAATTATTTAAAAATATTTTTTTAACTATATATTTTATTATTATTAAAGTTTCGGAAAACTGTGATTTAGGAGAGGAAGGAAGGACTTCAAATTAAACTTAGAATGTTTTCGTGAACACACATTTTGTTCATAATTATGAGACTTGAACCATTTTTAACATCAATCATATCAAAGGTTTTTTTAACTTTACATCATTTAATGATGATTCCGCATATATATTATTTCGCTCCTGGTCCCCCTTTGATAGGTTGATACAATTTTAGTTATTACATATGTACAAAAATTATCACACAAAGTAGTTTTTTAACAATTGAATTGCGTGTACGCAAACATCTTAATGCACAAGTTGTAAGTTGACCGCGAGCTTGTGGGTCACATAATCACTACAGTGGCAAGACCGAGGTGAATGATCCCTAAATCATTCGATAGCAATAAGGTGGCCAACGTTCCTTAGACGGAAAGTTGCAACACAGCCCGGGTTAAATGCTCGCTGCCAGTGCCAGTGCCTCTATGTGGCCAGCTGCCCGCGATTACATGGACTGCTTTTTATAGCTCATCAACCTGTTTGACCGTTTTTACCAATACATCATTTACTGCTGGTACTCACCAGAAAGCTGTATACATTGCAGATTTTATTTATTACTAACAACAAGTGATTTAAGAGAAATCTTAAGGATGTATTATAAAAGCTAGTGATATTTTACAGTGACGTAGATGTAGATACCTAAATCTATTTTTTTACACTCGCTGAAGGCAATGAGATTAGTACCCATATTTAAAAAAAATGTTGTCAAATTAATTATTATTATTATAATTGTTTTTACAACGAGCCTATGTGTATGATTATATTTATATTGGTAAGTTTAGGTACTAAAATAATTTATGATATAGCAAAATAGCAATTTCAGTTTAATCTTAAAACACAAAAAAGTCTTTGCTTTCTTTAAAAAATCAGCATCGCCAGTCCGGTAAAGCAAATGACGTTTACAAAATAAGTTGAGATCTTACCCGAGAGGAAACAGAAGAGAACACATTTGAGCGTGATAAGATTTTTGTTGACAAGTTGCTTCATTTTTATTGGTTTTGTCGCGTGTAGTTGCTGTTTTACATCTGGATATTCATCTTGCATCTATAACAAGGAATAAAATGATTAAGTACTAATTATATGGATTACATTACTTACGACCACTATATAATATGTATCCATACTAACATTATAAATGCGAAAGTGTCTGTCACCTTTTCACGCTTAAACCACTCAAACGATTCATATGACATTTGGTATAGAGATAGTCCGAGTCCCGAGAAAAGACATAGGGTAGTTTTTATCCCAGAAATCATACTTTAAGGTGGTGAAAAGGGGGGGTGGAAGTTTAAATGGGGAATTAAGAACCGCTGAACCGATTTAGATGAAATTCGGTATGGAGATACTTTGATTCTTGAGGAAAGACATGTGCTATTTTTTACCGCGGCGGGCAAAAGCTAGTTTATTATATCAGTTATATATCTAGCATTAACATACGACCCCAAATAAATTTGAGCAAATTATAGGAAGATGATGTAACCCGTAACGGAGGAGAAGAATACGAAGCAATTTCGCCGCAACATTTCCTTTAAACATTGTCAAGCAGAAAGCAATAGTGTGTAATCATCCTTACAGTTATTATGCAATCTTTACTGTATTAAGTCGCGTGTTCTCGGTTTATTAGTTTGTCCTCCATCACAAAGTAAAGACCAAATGGGTCGTGGAGTTTTTAGCATAGAAATAATTTCTGGAAACGTTTCATCCTCAAAAATGCATGATTCTTGAAGGATAACAAATCCAGGCACAGACAAAGGCTTGATTATAAATACATATTAAAATTTAAAGAATGACATACAATTTTTTCTTATTATGCGAAGCATTCGAAGTAAAATAGGTAGTAAAATTACTTTTTTAATGGCAGTATAAGTCTTTAGATTAGTTTAATTAACTCATATTACAAGTAAGTTAACAAAAAATCAAATACGTGTGAATTAACAGTTTAACAGAATTGAAAAGCTAAATAACATGTGCAGCGTGTTTCTTGTATCGAGGCCACGGCCGTTTATTTAGTCGCTTACATTAAACGGCGTGTAGAAGTGTCGTCCACCAATGCCAACTCTTATAGAATTAAAATAGATGGTATGAGATGACCCTTGCAATGATATCATCCTCAACACAGACGACTAACGAGCTCGTAAAAGTTCGCTCGACAACTGTATGCATTGATCATAATAACAAGTATGTTACATAGTTCATTAACGGGAAACTGTGAGTCACTCAGATGGCGTTAATCATGTCAATCGTGTTTTATATTTCATCCTGCTGTAGTTAACATGGGAATAGCACACGTCTTGGAACCTACACTGCTCGAAAGAGTCTTATTTAAAAAAACTCATAGTCGTTGTGTTGTTGTGTTGTGTATGTATTATTGGATTTTAGATTATAGACATAAATTTTAATAATATTAGGGGTTGAAGTATGAAATTGCCGATTTGCATTAAAAAATTGAAACTCCTTTTTTTCTTAGATGTAACATAATATTTATTTAATCAAAATATTTACCCTCATTATCTATACATTGCTGTCATCTAAACCGAAGCCTTTACGATACAACTCTGGGTATCTAGGTTCGACAAACTGTATGAAAGCATTTTGTACTGCCTCCTGGAAAGATTTTTTTATCACATAGAAAATTGTCGAAATTACGGAAAAAATATTAGTCCGTTGGAGCACGGTCTGGCGAGTACGGAGGATGACGTATGGCTTCTTACTGCAGCTCCTGTAGAGTTACAACAGTTTCTCGTGCAGTGTGAGGTCTTGCGTTATCATGGAGCAATAATGATGAAGATCGATTCACGAGTCGGGGCTGATTCACTGCGAATTTCACCATCATTATTGGAAGTTCGGCACAGTAAACATCTGCTGTTATTGCCTGACCAGACTTAAGGAAGCTATAGTGAATAACACCATGAAGAGACCACCAAAATTTTATTGGTAAGCTTTACTTTAATAGTGCCCACTGTTGCGGCGCTTGACCTGGGGTCAGCCAATACATTTTTCAAACAACCCACATGTCACAATTCGATCTAATATTCCTTTATTTCTGTACCGATTCAACAAGGTTCAATACGCATTTCTTTCTGCAGATCAGTCAAATCATGATGCACCCATTTTTCATATTTTTTTATCTTATTGATTTGATGCAAATGAGTGAATATTGTAGGTAGGGTAACGTTAAACCATGCCTTTAATTCCCGGGTAGTTTGACTCGGATTGGCTTTCGCCATCTCAGCCTTCTCCGCCTTCAATTCAGCGTAATTCACCTGTCTTCCACTTGGTTCGTTCTTTAAGTCGAAGTTAGAAAGGTACCGTGTGAAAAAAGTTTTACACGAAAATCTCACACCATGAAGGTTTTATGTCAATTCAAAGTATATATGTATTAATTACGTAAGTAGTATTAATTAAGGACTCGTATATATATTCAAAGTATATAATACAACGGCAATTTTATACTTTAGGTATTGTAAATGTTTTTCTACCATGTAACTACTACAATAATGTTTAGAAAAATATTTAAATACTTAATATGCAAAAAAACTATCATAAAAGAGCTTTATACAAAAATCAAACTTTAGTTCATCAGTTACAATATATTTGCGATTCACTACCATATTGTCTCCACTCTTTATTCAAAATGTATGCAAGCCTTGATCGAATAAATACTAGATAGACAACAGACGAAAGCACCAGACGATAAATTTTAATATTTAAATATTTATTTGGTAATATTCTTGCATTAACCTGCGTTTAAAAATCAATTTGAGGTAGATACTTCAAGGATACCTATTTATATGTCCAAAGATGCAACGCGATATCTATCTAATACTAGCTGGGACCCGCGACTTCGTTCGCGTTTTATGTGTATAATACATGCATATCCTAGTACAGAAAATCCGATAATTTCAAAAGATTGTCTTAAAAAACATGGTTTTGCTCGCTTACATTGCAAACGCTGGCTCATCCTTACCAGATAGACCAAAATAATGTCCGATGGAATCGTATATTTAAAAAAGACCTACGAAATGGTATATGTCTATCTTCTAAGGACAACCCACAATAACCATTTTTGTCTTTTAAATATTACAAAAAAAAGGGGTTTTTACGAAGCTATTTTAAACAATAGACTATTATTCCTTATCCAATTACATACGTTAGATACGTTATGTATTTAATGTAGACTTAAATTGCTCTTTACAGCATATCATTAAAATGAATATTTTATAAGATATTAGAGGTTTAAAATGCGCGGGCAAAGCAGCTGTCGCCGCTTCGGGCCGTACGTCGGGTGGCAGCGGCTGGCAGCATCGGATCGGGCCTTTAAATATTGCATACAAAGAAGTCCTATAGTGTAGTCCTATCATAATAATAGCACAATTAATTACTCCACACTGACACCACATTAGTAGTATTTGTAGTATCTACATTGCACCCGTACGAAGCCGGGGCGGATCGCTAGTATATTATAAATGCATAATAAATGTGCTAAGATAACAGTCAATATGAAAGCAATTCTGGGTTATTGGCAAAAAAAACTTGTTAACACGCTAGAACCATAAAAAATGACTTTATCGCGTAACTTTCCACAAATGCTTTTGATTCATTTGAGCTATTGACGAACATGAGTTATTAACTGAACAATAGCTAACATACTTTAGGCATACACCCATAGAAATCCTTATTAATGACGTTTATCTCCATGAAATGTAACCTCTCAGAACCACAACGGGCATTTATACTTTAATAATGTGTTGATTGTCGCTTTATTAATCGAATTGTTTAAAGTTACGTCATTGAAGATAAATATATGACATTAGTCACTTGTAATTCCTGCATGATCTGTAAACGTAATATCGTTTTTATTTATTTATGCACTTTTGTACATGGGCGGATTAATTGCCCAGGGCATTCTCTTCTAGTCAACCTTTGGGTGGTGTAGAAATCTAGTAAGGTGCACAGAGGTTAATAAGTAATTAATGAAATGTATGTAACTGTGCGCTACATACACAAACTTATACATACTCATATACAACACAACACATCATAAATACACACAAATACAATCATACACATACATATATATTTAATTCTATTTATATAGATACATAGACATATTATATTCGCACACTATGTATACCAGAATATGAGGTATACTATCGAATAGATAGTTCTACCATTTCGTTAACAAGGAGATCATGTACCTTCTTTTTGAAAATAAAACGGTTTGTGGACATCCTGACTTCGAGCGGGAGCGCATTCCAGAGTAGTACTGCTTGAATAAAGAACGAAGAGCTCACGAAGTCGGAGTTGTGTAAGGGATATAAGAGAAGCAGATTATTAACTGAGCAAAGATTTCTATCGTGGTTAGTGGACAGGTAACGGAAGTAGGGAGCAAGGTAAGTAGGCGAGGAAGGTGAGTTGAGACATGAAAATAGATAGGTTTTTGCGGCGCAAGCGAATAGGTAACCAGTTTAGTTGGAACATGGTCATACTTCCGAATATTGAAAATGTATCGAATGCAGTTATTGACTGTCGCACCCGAAGATAGGTGGAGAACCATTTCAGTGCCTCAGAAGGAACCGTAAGATATGTAAGGATAGATAACAGGATTTCGTGATTGACGGTATTAAAGGCATTAGAGAAGTCAACTAGGACTAATACTGTGACTTTGGTGTTTTCCATGCCCTTCCTAATATCGCCAGTCACTTTAAGGAGAGCGGTAACTGTGCTGTGATCGGGCCTGAAGCCGGATGTAAGGGGCTTAAAAGTTGCTCTCTGTATACAAACTGTGAGAGCTGTGTTATTATTTTTTAATAAGACAACTCTCACAGTTAGAGGAATAATATAAGCCTTGCGCCACAAACAGAGAAAGGTATCAGAGTCGAGAGAGAAGTTGACTATGTGAGTAATTACTGAGAGAATACGAGTACAGTCTAGGATGGTAACAATCATGCGACGGCTAATGCCATCATTTGAACAAATAGATAGACTAATCTTCTTGATATCCTCAGGAGACAACGGAGAAAATTCAAACGTGTCAGTAGTGGGACATGTAAGACCAGGTATGTAGTGTAGAGTTTGATACTTAGTTTGAAGATCCAACGTAGCTGTGGACGAGAACGAGAGAACGAGATGACGGTTGATATCATACAAACCAATTTTATTGTTAAACACGGGATGTTGTTGTTTACCAATTCCTAGAGTACTAAATTTCCAGATACTGGACGAAGAAGAACACTATGTTTTGAAGAATATGTCGGCGTTTAGCGTTGCGTATCACCTGATTGCACCAATTCCTTGCAGACTTATAAAGGTTCCATTTATATTCGCAGCGATCTTTCTTGAAACGAAGAAAGGACTGGTCCCTTCGTCTCATAGCAGTTCGGACCTCCTCAGTCATCCAAGGGCACGTTTTAATTTTACTCTTCTAATAGGAGCGTGGACGTCATACAATTTTACTATGGTGTCATTAAAAATACGGATTTTGATGTCCACGTCAGTAGCAGCTGCCACATCCTCCCAATCGATCTTAGCAGCATCCTCGTGTGATTTGTCAATATCCATGCGATGGAAACTGCGAATCTGTAGAATATTAGGAGGTAGTTTGGGAGGTTTCCGGATATAGGAAAGGAAGATAAAGTCGTGACAGGAAAAACCGGGGGCAAGAAGTTGTCCGTGGGAAGAGACAAGGTGTGACGCAGAGATGAGCATTAGATCTAGCCAGGTAGTCTAAATTGTGGTGACTGGCTTGGAGGGGTAGGATATGAAGGCTAGTTGCTTGAATGATCTGAAGGAGGATCTGAAGGATCTGTATTTCTACACCACCCGCCAGCAGACACATACACAAAATTAATGTACCAAAAACAAAGTTTGATTTGTGACATTTGACATTGTAGTAATATATATAGCATAAATGATTAAATTAACTTAAACAGAGAAACAGATAAGAGAACCAAGAAGAAAGAAAAATATTATGAAAGGAAAAAAACAGATACATATACTCTAATCACTACTACTGCTACACAATTTCCGAACGCACCCAAGCGAAAAAATAAAGTAAACGTAATCTTGACAAATGATACTAGTTGCTGTTAGAGTTGTTGTCACAAAT